ATGGCTCCTGTAGTAGGCTCCTGCTCGGACAGACTTATCATAAAGGAACCTTGGCCTCAGGAAGCCCCTTCATAACCTTGACCCCTATGCCCCGGACCTCAAGATACCCCACGGTTAAGGGTTTAGGGTTTAGGGTTTAGGGTTTAGGGTTTAGGGTTTAGGGCCGATTAGTACAATCATCATCCCTAAACTGGGCCCTAAAGCTTCGCATAAAGAAGCCTGGGTGAAGCCTTAAGATGATAGGCGCTAAGTGTCGCTAAGACACCCTAAGCGTCAACAAGAGCGAAGCGAGGAGAAGATAAATGCCAAGCTCGCGCAGTCTGGGACCACTCCCGTGGGGAACCAAGATCCGATCCTGCATTTTTTGTAAGGGTTTAGGATTTAGGGTTTAGGGTTTAGGGTTTAGGCTTTTTAAAAGTAGGGGTGGCTTACTTGGGGGTTCCATGCAATATTCTTCCTGCTGCTGAGGGTTCCACTACTAAACGCGGCGGGACTGCGCCTCGCCCCATCTGGGGCTGCTCAAGCTGGTCCCCTCCCGCTTGTTAATACGGAAGCATCGATAATCATTATTAATATTATTCAACATCCTGCAGACTCTATTCTGATTACTAAGGCCCTTACATTACCACTATCATCTTCCATTGCTTTCATGCTTGATTGCGAGTTGACACCTGGAACGTAGACACCATGTCCCCAAACCCAACCCAATACCCCAGACGCAGGCTTTACCTTAACTTACCAAAACCTACCTTTTTGTAGGATCCCTATAAATTCCGTACTAGGGTTTAGAATAAGAACCTACAGAAAAGTAGGTTTTGGTAGGTTAAGACAAAGTTTCGGATTCTAGGAAACCCAAAGCTCTGACCCCAGGTCTTCTTTGGAGTCTTGGACATCGCTGGCTTCGAGAGCTTTGAGCACAACTCTCTCGAGTGCCTTTACTGCACCACCGTGAACCGTAAACCCCCTAAACCCTAAACGCCCCTAAACCCTAAACCCCTAAACCCCTAAACCCTAAACCCTAAACCCCTAAACCCTAAACAGCGCATCGGTGTGGCAGTGAGAGTTTAGGAGCCAGGGCTTCTGATACAAGGTTTGTGGGTTTAGGGGTTTAGGGTTTAGGGCTTGTGGGTTTAGGATACAGGGTTTAGGGTTTGTGGCTTTAGGGTTTAGGGTTTAGGGTTTAGGGTTTAGGCTAAAGTATACCCATAGGATCCTTCAGCCCTAAACCCTAAACCCTAAACCCTAAAAGCCGGATAGGCAGTTGTTCATCAACCTGAGCAATGAGCTCCTGCAGAAGCACTTCAATGAGTTCTTCTTTCGCATGGAGCTCGAGGTTGGCTGTCAGAGCAGGTTTGTCACAACCCTAAACCCTAAACCCTAAACCCTAAACCCTAAACCCTAATTGGTGGTTTAGGGCTTCGAGGGTGCATGTATTCTGGGGCTTTCCGAACGGTTTGACAAAATAATGGCTAAATGTAGGGGCCTACGAAGGGCACGCACGGATTTTCGGAGTTCCGGTTTGTGTCTGGAGTTTTAGGTGTCATGTGTTTAGGCTTTGGGTCTGTGTCGTTTAGGCGTCAGGGCTGTTTGGTTTCAACTTGGGCAGGGCTTCAAAAGTTTAGGCCTGTTAGCCCGCCCTAAACCCTAAACCCTAAACCCTAAGGCGCCCTGGCATATCCCCCTGCAGGAGTATGAGGCAGAGGGCGTCTCGGTGGGCGTGGAAGTCCAATACCAGGAGCTGCCACATGAGCCCAGATGCACTTAACACAAACCCGCCCTTTGTCGCAAGGACAACAGTGACATCGTGGAAATGATCAACGGCAAGAAAGGCATTCTTACAATGCTTGATGACGAGGCCTCGGGATGCTTCTTCGAACTCTGGACCGCAGCTGCATCAGATGCGTGATCGCTACCCGATTCGATCGGGCTTGTGTGTGAAGGACGATGACTGTGACCTGTTGTTGATGTAGGATGGAGGTGGCAACGCTAAGAGCATCCTCACCTGTCGGAGGTTCTGATACCGAAAGCCACGGACCAAACCTTCGTGCAAAAGGTTGCCAAAGACCATGGCAATAATCCCAGGCCGGGGGGCGTCAGATGAAAGTAGCTGACCTGAGCATTGTGTGGCCGTGCACCGTGAGGTACTGGAGAATAGTCCTAAGCTGTAAAGCAGCTTGCGGACAAACTGGCATGAGTCCTGCGTTCTGCATTCTGATCGTCACACAGCATGGTAAACGACTATAGGAAAGTTTGGAGGTAACATACACTCGACGTATTTTACGGAACATACGGGCAGAGTGCCGGTATGGTACTGAGCTCATGCCCTAAACCCTAAACCCTAAAGTGTCGCAGGATGGTCAAGAGCAAGATGGGAGGCTGGATGCTGAGCGATCAACGCACTAGGGTTTAGGGTTTTGGGTTTACTGCTTTTGCCGCAGTGGCCACAGCAGCAGCCGAGTGGTACGTAGTGGCGTTAGCATTAGCAAGGAGTAGTAATGATAGCTGTGGTAGTAATGGCAGTGGTAGTAGTAGTGGTAGCAGTAGTAGTAGCAGCAGCAGCAGCAGCAACAGCGGTAGGTAGTAGTCAGTCGTCCTCCTGGTCGTAGTGGCCGTGGTCGTTGTCGTAGTCGTAGTTGTAGCAGTGGCAGCATTACATTCCAGGAAGAAGGGCTGTAGGACTAGCACCTGCAGCAGCACTAGCAGAAATAATTGCACTCGTAACAGTTATGTTTTGTCCTCGGACTTCATGGCCTGTTACACCCAACCTCACAGCACTAGCTGAAACAGGTGCCGTCAAGTTTGGCATCAAGCCGCCTGGCGTCCATCCTTCATGCGCACGTCAGAATCTAAATGAGATACTCTCAACCATTTTAAGTTTCTCATGCCCTAAGCCCTGGACCCCAAACCCTAAACCCTAAACCCTAAACCCCTAAACCCTAAACCCCAAGCCCTAGGTAAGGCTTCGAAATAGGGATCCTGTTCTTTGGGATCTTCCGAGTTGTGGATTGCCTCTACTATTCTGGTAGTTCCTTATGATAGGTATAGTATAGTATACCCCAAAAACCCTATTCTAATCATTAAGGCCCTATATTTTTTGGAAAAAGCCAGTGATCCTCCATCGAAGTCGTAGTGCCTGTATGACCAGAACAACAGCAGAGGTAGTGGACAGAACGGAAGAACCGTGGTAGCCATAAGAAGAGAAACCCAAGCACGCCTAGGATGTCTGCACCGTGAGTAATGCGCCTCGGAAGTTGAAGCAACAAGAAAAATTGCAGCAGAGGCACTTCGCTGGTGAGGTCACCTACGATGTGTCTGCTCCCGGGCATGAATTAGGGTTGAGGTCTGTCGACGGTGGTTGAGGGCTTGAGCGCTGCGGGGTTCGATGCGATGTCCTGGTGTGCAGTACATCGTATCAGCGTCGCGGTGTGGATGCTCCGCGTCATGCGCATGTTGTTTCACCCAGCACCCTTGCATGTTGGGTTTCTAGGGGATCGCTGCTCCAAGGTGCTGGGGACCAGTTCAACAGTCAAGCATAGGCCACCACAAAGCGAACACGATGTTGTCTAGAGCGCTACAAACTTGAGGGTATCGCAGTAAGCAAACTACGGCACCCAATGTGGATGGTCGTTGGCCTGAGGACCTCCCAACCGCAGAACGAAACCCTTACGACCTTACGAGCAATACAGGCGGCGTGCACCCCCAAAAAGGCCACGAGAAGGCCCTGCATGTCATCCCTTTGGTGTTGCAAGTCTGCAGTGAATGAGATACGATATCGCATGAACCTGTCAGGATCCCAAAGCCCAGTCAGGAGACAATGAGTTCTTTGGGCAGCGTGCTTTCCTTTTGCATGCCTTAGAATGCACACATATAGTTTTCAACCTCGTGTGGCGCTAAAGTCGCTAAAGCCGCAAGCTCGAAACCATCAAGGTCTATGTAAACCGGAAAAGCCCGAAACACTGGACCCTTCAACCCTGTGTAAATTCTGACCCTAAGATCTTTTTCTCTCAGCCCTGAAAGCCTCAAAACCGATCCGAATCTGTCTTGCCCAGGGCTTTCTTGACAAGAACATGGCCAAGTTGCCAGACGAGGCCGGGTAGTAACTCAGCACTAAGGGTTTAGGGTTTAAAAGTTTAGGGTTTAGGGTTTTGCTGGGAGGGCCTTGAGGTGCTGTTGAAGATGTTCAGTTTTGCTTGGCTTCGTGCTTTGATTTTGTTTGGGTCGAGCGTAGGGTTCGTTTAGCTGTATATGAGCTTTGTTAGAGTGTAGGCTTGAAGGATCATGGGCTCTAGCACAGAATCGCTTATCAGTGTGGCAGTGGCAACTGGGGGTTTATCAATGCAGTTGTGCTACCTAAACCCCAAACCCTAAACC